GAGACAGCAGTGTGTAAGGAGTTGTCAGGAGGTGAGGGGCACACAAGGAGCAGTGAAAATAACAGAGAGGCAGAAAAGAGGTAGGAGGAAAGCCAGCTAGTGACATGATGCCAAGGCAGTGACAACTTCAAAACCAAAGGTGTGACAAACACTGCCAGATGCTGCAGAAAGTACAAAATAAATACTGAGTGTCCAGCGGATTGGGCAAAGGTGGGTCACTGAGGAAAGCGGCTGTACGAAGAGTAACTCTGGAGCAGTCCAAATGAAGTGAGCCAACTGCTAACATGGGGCTTCATGATGGAAGGGTGGCAGACTGATCCATGCACCCCCAAAACTGAGATAAAAATACTCCCAAAATATATGTGTGAGCACATCACCAGGAATAGTAATTTTGAGATATGTCCACATGTCAGAGCCTGAGGAGAACTTCCACTAATTCCCCACTAATTCCAACGCTGATGAAACTGGGGAAACACAACCTCCACCCCGAGAACCACAGCGGCCCACGGGAAGGAAGGACTTTCACTCACCACCACTATTTGTTCTTGCCAGGGACCCAGAGGCTACAGTGGCCATCAAAGCAAGCAACTGTTTCCATGGTGATCTATTCCCCAACCCAAACCCACCTCGGCAGCACCCCTTTTCTAAGCTCCTTTAGAAAACACCCCTCTGAGAGTAAGCAGAGCAGGGGTTGGTGCGACCATCCTGGATCATTGGCAGGGCAGATGAGAAGCGGAATGTACCTGGGGTCACTGACTGCTGTGTTCCAGTTCGGGAGCAGGAAGGAGAGCAGGAGAGGGAAGGACAAAGGCTGATGTAATTCTGTGGCACAGGGAACCACCCCAACAGTATGGGCCATCAAGATCCCGCTTCTGCCCTGGACGAGATAGCTGCATGTCTTCTAGAAACAGGGCTCTCTAGTCTGGGGCTGGAAAGGGGAAAATTTTCCCAGACCTGGGTAAAGTGAAGAAAGAACAGAGAAGGCTAAAGAGTCATTATAAACCTTGCTTGCTCACAGTCACTGGCCCTACAAAGAACAATAATGGTTGAATCACAAAGCAGAACAGAAAAAAGCAAAAGGGACCATATAAAAACAGCTTCTATTGCAAAATAAAGACAGCGTTAGGCTAGATAAAAAGGCTTTATATACACACACATGTAAATTATGTATATATGTAATATATACATGTATATTACATTGATATATACATACATTATATTAATATACATTATATAAATTATTTTAAATTTTATAATAAATAATTTAAAATTTGTAAATGACAGTAGACAACTAAATCAATGTTGTAGAAGACACACTCAAGAAGGAATGCAGACTGCAGAGGTGCAAAAGAGAAAGTGTGAGAAGAGATGGGTAAAGTGAAAAATGAATGGAAATCTAGCATTAAAATGAGAGGCATTCCTGAAGAACAAACAGAAATAATAACCATCAAAGATGTGAAAGCAAATGAACCTAAGCTCAAAGGAAGACTTGAGACAGTAACCCAAGGGGCTGACACTGTTACTGACAAAAATCATGTGAAATACCTACACCCAGACATTTCATAACTGCTATGAGGAAGCCCTGAGGAGAGCACACCCTAGCACAGCTGCTACAGAAGGGGACGCTGGATTAGACACTGATAGCCCCAAACTGGAAACCCAAATATCCATCCTGAATAGAATGGACATAGAAATGGGGTCATAGTATCAATAATGGAATATCATATATTAATGAACATGAGTGAACTTCTGATAGCGGCAATTTTAGTTTAAGATTACGATAGCATCACAAGGCTATTCAATAAATAGCATTTCAAAAACTGTTTTTTTATTATAATTCATATGTCTAATAAAACTTCACATGACACCCTGTAGAAGTGCAAGAGACTGCTAATGAATATACATGAACTCCCTGGGTATACTGCAAACTCTTTGGGGAGAGGCAATGAATAGTATGCCTATTTTATTTCTTCCTCCATCCAGAAAGCACTTGGGTAAGCATTCCTGCAATGAATGAATGAACAGGAATGAACAAAGGAATGAATGAATGAATGAATGACTGTCTCAACCGATTCATCATGGCTGAGTTTGCTTGTTGGGTGATGCTCAACTCCAGTCTGGCCAACTTGCAGCAGCTTTGCACTATTTCCTCCTGAGATTTGTGTAAAGAGAAGAAACAGAAACTTTCCAGAGTGAATGGCAGCTGGAGATGGTGTGCATGGAACAGGCTCTTGTCCCGCCTGTTCTCCGTGGGGACCCACCCAGGGACCCGGCTCCTTTGACGTTTACCTTGAAGGAAAGGGGCATTCTGTTCCTGGTGATAAGCACCAACCAACCTATCCCCATGGTGATTCTGAAGCAGGAGGCTGCAGGGTGAGGAGGGGGGGACCAGAAAGTGAGGGTGGTACCCAACTAGTGTCTGCACCGGAGTTAGCCGGACCACAAGGGATGCTCCACTGTCCACCAGTGTCCAACACATCAAGTGCCTGTGCAACACCGCGAGACCTCTGAGGATAGATGAGTGGCCTCGAACAGCAGGACTGAGGACAGCTTGACAGGAGGCAGCCCCAAGAGAACAGCAAGCAGGCAAAGGCTCGGAGACCTCGGCTCCCTGAAGCACCAGCAGCAGTCACCCGGACCGATTCTTGCCAGCTGGTTTTCAGACCCTGCCCCCCAGCTCTAAACTCAGTGCACATCTGCACAGCCCTGCCCGAGCCCCACGATGCTCATAAGAAAGCATGAGCAGTCATAACTCAGGGGTCACCTTGGCAAAAAACAATGAAGTAGAAGAAATCTTCCATCAGAAAATACATGGATTACCCTCCTGAAGGACAGACAGCACCTTCACCAGCGCCGTCAGGTCCTGAAGTCCCGCTTCCTTCCACCAGGGCTTCCTTCCTGAGCCTGCCCATCTGGACTACTAGAGTCACTCCCTGCTCATCTCGCCTGCGAAGGAGCCTTTCTTTCTTTTCTTTTCTTTTTTTTTTTTTCATTGATTTCAGAGAGGAAAGGAGAGGGAGAGAGAGATAGAAACATTTTTGATGAGAAAGAATCATTGATCATGCCTCCTGCATGCCCCACACTGGGGATTGAGCCCGCAACTGGGAATCGAACCGTGACCTCCTGGTTCATAGGTCGACGCTCAACCACTGAGCCACGCTGGCTGGGCAGAAGGCACCTTTCAGCCCTGCCCAGCTGCCTGGCCCTGGGTGAAACAGCTGGTGAACTCTGATGTTTGCCCAAGAACATGCAGGGTGTTGCAGCCAGGTGCTCAGAGCAGGGAACAGGGCTGAAATCTCACCAGCCATCCTCTTGAAAGGCAGCACCCAGAGGTGGCCCAGATTTAACAAAAAAAGAAAAAATGCCTTGCTCTGAGAAGTGTTGGAGAAATCATCTCTTGGTTATTCACAAGGTTGGGTGGCAGACGGAAAGAGGAAGGGAAGTGGAAAGCAGGATCTGGGACAGCCACAGGGGATCTTCAAACTTCATTTGGTTAGTAATCTCGCATCTTTGAGAGTTGCCAGTTCTTGGCCTCTGTTCAGCAAAACCCACTCAGGGGACTCCTGCTAACTGACAAACCCAAGGGACCTACACAAACACACGTGCAAACCAGCCAAATCAATGCACCACCTGCCCTCATCTCCACTGGGGGCCGACTCCTCGGGGTGTGGGGGAGCCTGAGCCTCGCCTCACCTGCCCAACGCGGCCAAAACTAATGAAGGGTGGGCTCCCGTCACAGGCAGTTAGGGCTCCCTTGCATGCGTCTGTGTCCTGCATCTGACTGTTCTCTGGCCAACTGAAGGCCAGTAGAGCTGAGGGTCCTGCTGTCCTCTCGGGCCACCAGTCTGTCCAGACCACAGTGAGCAGCTGCTGCCCTAAGGAGCCTGGCCTTGCCCACTCACTCTGACATCCCAGCCTTCTCTGGACCCAGCCCACCCACCTCTGTCAGGCCACTGCTCGCTCATGCAAATAAGCAAGCCCCTAGGGAAGCGTGCCAACAAAATAAACAAGGGCAGGGAAAGTTATCACAAGGCCCCATCCTTCAATTCCCTCGTCTGCTGCAGATCATGAAGCAAGTGTGGCTTCCCTGGCCCCGCACTGAATCTTCCCACCTTCCCCGGTGAAAAAGGAGCGCAGAGAAGGCATGCTGGCTCGGACCATTACACTTAAAAGCAAAGATGGGAGCCATCTGGGGTAATTTCGGCTTCTCTCTTTTAGAAAATAAATTAGTAGACTTCGTGTTTTAAAATGTGTTACAAGGAACACAGCATTCCAAAACACTGGGAAAAAACGATTCTGGTTTGGCCTCAGCAGATGTGGCACCTAGGCAAACATCTGGCTGAATCAACCTAATGCTCTATTCCAGAAAATAATTCCTGCTCTCTTGCTTTAATTTTCTTTTTATCGGGGGTTGGTTTACCAATGGGGACACAACAGGGCAGTGTCCCAGGACGAAGTCAGTCACTGCGTTCTCAGGTTTTTTCCCATCCCTCATTCTGCCCTGAGTACTCAGGGCTGAACTGTGTTACGAAGGAACAGAGGTGATAAAAATTATCGCTGTCCACCTCGATGCAGCTTCCAGACCATTTCTCAGCTGGGCAGGATTCAAAGCACATGGCCACGCGTCAAGAGACAGCCATTAACAAGGCTTCACCCTCCCCCACAGCTGGGCCCCAGCGTAAATGACAATATGGGAACGGGACGACACCGTGTGTGATAGAGATTCCATAAACTGCAAAATACACTTGGGGAGTTGAAGGCTATCCTCCCAGTCAGTAGCCAAGGAAACGGAACTATCCACCATCGATCTCTCAGGCCTCGAGGTCCATCCCACACAAAGAAGTCCTTCGGGCAGAATTTACCTCTGAACTCTTTCCCGTCCACCACAGCCAGACGGGGCCACCACTGGTGGCCAGAGCCTGGCCCTTTCACCTGAGATGCACAATAGCCCCAAGTGCCTCTCCGGATGGCTAAGCTCCCAGACGGGGCGGGCTCCTTACCATCGAGCTCCTCCACGGAGATATTTGCAAGCTGCTCGCTGTCGCTGCCAGCAGAGAGAGACCGGTTGAGGTAATTCCCCTTGTACAACAGGCCAGCGGTCACATGGTGGAAAGGCATCTTCTCCCTGTTCACGGGAGAAGGGAGGCGAGAGAAAAAGACATCGTCAGTCACTCCTCCTTTCCGTCCTTAAAGGACCACCCCGGCTTTCCCATGGCCAGTGTTATCTTTTACATAATAACATCTCTAGAGGGGAAGTCAGAAAACTCCGGGGTACCCAGGGCTGAACAATTCCTACAGGGACTCAAGATCTAGCCCTTCCTCCACTGTATGTCTTGCATCATTGTTCCCACTGAATTATGAATTTGAAGCGAGTTGTCCCTGCAGACTGTGGGACACCCTGTCATCGCCAAGCTGTCTCCGTACAAACAGGAACACCCTCTGCTCCTCTCCCTCGCCTGACACCCTCTTTCTCAGTTCTCATAAGACAGGACTGCGCACCCCAGAAATGTCGGGCTGCCCAGGGACTGGATGTCTTGGCTGGGACCCTGCAGAGGTCCAAGGGTTTCACTTTTCCCAGGCAAAGCAGGCACTCCACTCACACAGCACCCCAAGCAGGGGGGAATGAGCGGCTCTACGTGAATATGCATACCAGTCTGCACCGCTGAGGAGCGGCCCCCAAGCCCGACTCCCCCGACTCGCACCTGCCCTACTATAAAGGTGAGTGACATCTCAAGGTGTCCCAGAACTAAGCAGCTTCCAGCCCTCTCAGGGAAATGAACTAATGCAGTGGTTCTCAACCTTCTGGCCCTTTAAATACAGTTCCTCATGTTGTGACCCAACCATACAATTATTTTCGTTGCTACTTCATAACGGTAATGTTGCTACTGTTATGAATCGTAATGTAAATATCTGATATGCAGAATGGTCTTAGGCGACCCCTGTGAAAGGGTCGTTCGACCGCCAAAGGGGTCGCGACCCACAGGTTGAGAACCGCTGAACTAATGCATCCCTCTACCCCCAACTAACAAACCCTCCAGGCAAAGCTGCTCTGCCCAGATGGCCACCTCCACTGGGCCTCAGATTCCCCCACAGTGCAAGGCAGGCCAGAGGCTCCAGGCAAAGGGAAAGGGGAGGGAACGGCGTGTGGTGAGGAGAAGGAAAGGGCAGGTACAAAGGATAAAGAGGAAAGGCAGTTAGAAAGATGGGCCCTCCCCGGCAGAAAGGGCCCAGCTCTGTTACAGTGAGGGAGCCACTGAGCATGTCAGGCTCTGCTTCCCCATCTGGAAAGGGACTAAGAGGACTAATAAACCACTGAGTGGAACTAGAGAATAGGTAGGAAGAACAGGGAGCCGATTACAGGGTGTGGCTAAAGAACATCTTCTTAGCAGGGCTCCCAGAAGGAGAACTGGGCAGCCCTGGAAGGAGTAATCTCCCCGTCCCTGGGAGCATTCAAGCACGGATGAGGGCCTCCCTGCCAAGGGTTCTGAGGGAGAGGAATGACCCCTTGCTCTCTCCCCACACAGCTATCATTCTGCATGTAAGTCACTTGTAGAGACCTGTCCGGCACTAAAGCTTGCGTCTATAAGATAAGCCGGAGTGGCCAGAGCAGCCCCTGTGGCCACTGCTGAGTAACGAGGTATGAATTACAGGAAGACAGCCAACGGGCCAGTCTCTGAGAACGATAGCTCAGGACAGCCAAACCTCGCCGACCCTTGAACCCCGCTCAGAGAGAATCCACACTCGGCGATCGTCCCTGCTCATGGGATGCTGGAACCAGCACACACCAGGGGTGGGGCTCCTGTCTTCTTTCCCCTGGGACACCACTGGTGACAGGCACAGCTGGACACGCCCCTACTGTCCCCAACACAGCAGCAGGTCCTTGCGGGGCTGAGCACTGCTGACCTAGAGATCAACCAAGGAGACTCCTAAGAGTTACAGGGCTCGCCCAAGAGCACAACACCGGTTAGGGAAAGAATCCTTTCCAGAACACAAGCCTCCTAAGTGCTGTTTCGACGAAGCAGCCACAGCTGAGCCAAGACATTTCCATCCGGATGTCAAACTCTCGTTTTAAACTCAAGATGTCTAAAAACGAATTAATTATCTTCCTAAAAAATAGGCCACACTTCCTGATTTCTCTATTTCCATCAAAGGTACTTTTCATTCATCATAACAACTGGGACAACTCTCACAAATGCTCTGGGCCCCGAACAGTCAGACAGGCCCTGGGCTGAGGCCAGAGCCAGCCGTCAGCCTCCACACCACGCGAACGCTCTACCGCTCACAAAACACGCATCCACGGGCCGATCGTCAACGGCAGGACGCTGGCCACAAAGCGCGCACACGTTTGCCAAGTATATAATGTACATCTTCGGCTAGTTATAAGCCAGACGTCCCCCTCCCAAGCCAAATCTGTCCTTTCACATAAATAGAAAACAATCATCTTTTTCTGGAAGAACAATTCAATTGCCATCTCCTCTTTTCTCCAAGTTAAATTTCAGACTGAACAGGTTGAAAAGCGAGTATCAGACATACTATAAGTTAAGGCCACTCTCCCTTTTCCTAAAGCCAATCCGGGTTTGGGGGACCGGGTGCTGTGATTGTCTGACAAAGGACTGCATTCCCGTGGCCCAGGGAGAGAGAAGTCAACACCACTAACACTTCCCGCGTGCCTTCAGCTCCCTCTCAGCACTGGCCCAGGACCCCAGCTGCCTCACCTGCTGTTATTCTGTCAGTTCAGTTCTTCGTGAGCATCAGTTCTTCAGAATTTCCCTGCCTGGAGGAGCCCCTCTCCGATCAGTACTGGCACTGGAAACATCCCTCCCCGCTTCATCACTCATCACTCTAGTTTCCAAGCATTTTGTAAATATCTTCCCTTTATCGCCTTTTACCTGGACGTCTGAAGCTTTGCATCTGCCACACACATTTTTGCAGCCGCATAACAAAGTTATACACAAACGAACATACCCAAGCCATGTCCCAGTACAGCACATAATAAACAGTGAGTACTTGGCAGAAAAAAACACACCACAAAACTGGTCATAACTGAATCCTATTTGATATGCCAACATAATTTGCTTCTGGAAAAAAGCAGCTTACAAAATTAGGTATATATTCAGTTCCTTCGGTCTCTGCACCCAAAATGTTCAGTGCCTAGTAGGAAAGAAAACATGTGCAATTGAACTATCCATACAGATAAATAAAGTCATGTTCAAAAGAGGGAAGAACATTATTTCAAGTAAGCTAAAAACAGATGCTGCAATTAAGGACTAAATTTCACTCCAAGCCACCTGGGGAAACCCAACCAACATTTTCTCTTTGGCGAAGGAAGAAAAACACACAAGTTCATCGGCAAAGACAAACATGGCCCTGAACTGAAACTTGAAGATGGATCCTTATATGGGGGGCAATGAACACAAAACATATGTAAATATTTTCACGGCAACTTTACTCATTGAGAAATATTATTTAACTGACTTTATCATGTGGACACTTTCTCTGTAGCTTCTGTAAGGCAGTATGACTTCATGTTTAAGAATCAGGACTTCTGCCTGCCGGTGTGGCTCAGTGGTTGAGCCTCGACCTATGAACCAGGAGGTCACGGTTTGCAAGCACAAGCCCGGGTTGTGAGCTCGATCCCTGGTCGGGGCCATGCAGGAAGCAGCCTATCAATGATTCTCTCTCATCATTGATGCTTCTATCTCTTTCCTCCTCTCTGAAATCAATAAAAAATATGTATTTTTAAAAATCAGGATTTTTGCAGAAAAAACAGTGTTAGATTTAAATCCTACCCCTGCCTTCAATACCCTTGTCAGTAAGTTACTTATCTTCTGTAAGCCTGTTTCCTCCTCTGTAAATGAGGGTTTTGATACACACTGATTAGTGTTTTTATAAATTTAATATAAGGTATGGAAAGCACTGTACTTAGCACCAGGAACATTCTCAATAAATATCAGTAATTATTTGCTAAGGGTTATATGAAACAGGATACAGGGAGAAGAGGAGGTCACGGGTATATCGGATTGAAGATCACACATTCTGGGTTAGGAAGGAGGGCCCGGGAGGACGTGGCCGAGGGTGGGCTCGGAGGGAAGCTGGCTGGCTCCGTGCACCACGGTTCAGAGGGACCAGGTGGGCGAGGGGCTAGGCAGCACCAGGGTTCCTGGTGAGTGGCGAGTGGTGTCGGCAAGCAGCTGGCTGCATCGGCAGGAGGGCTATTTGAATGGAAAGCACGGGAGCTGAAGAAGAGTCCATTTCCCGGGCACCAGGGAGCCTGATTCTCTGGTCACATAATGGACGAGGTGTCCGGGGGTTAAAAATCAAAGGGGTGGTTCCTGTTTTAAGGGTCAAGGAACGGGTACATTTCTTGGTGGAGTAATCAACCAAAGAGCCCCATTCACGTTGACATGAGATGGTGCCCTTCAGCGAAGGTTAATTTTATGTGTCAACGTGACTGGGCCCCGGGGTGCCCAGATATGTGGTTAAACGTTACTCTGGGCTGCCTGTGAGGTTGTTTCTGGATGAGAGGAATGTCCGAGCCACAGACTGAGTACAGCAGGTTGCCCTCCCTGACGGGGCTGAGCCTCAGCCCATGGATGGAGGCAGAGGAGGGAGAATTCATTCTCTCGGCCTGACCGTGAAGCTGGGACACTGGTCTTCTGCCTGGACTGGACCTGAGGCTCGGACTGGAGCTAACACCATCATTTCTCCTGGGTCTCCAGCTTGCCACCTGCAGACTGTGGGCTTCTCCGCCTCCATAACCATGTGAGCCAATTCCTTACAATAAATCCTTCTATATTCACACCCATCCTATTGGTTATGTTTCTCTGGGGAACCCGGACTCATACACCTTCCATTTTTCTCTCTGTGGCACCGAAGACCCATGCATATTACCAGAGGCTGATATTGTTACTACGGACAAAGAGTGTGCCAAAACACAATCCTGCGGGGCCCCTAGAGCAGGGCCACTCGGTGTGCTCTGTGGGCCACTGCCAGGCAGACACTGCCTGCGGCTGGTCTGCAATGAGCTCCTTTCAAAGTGGAGAGACCACTTTGAAATGTTTATTGCATTGTCCCAACATCTAAGCATGTGACCAGTTGACTTGATTTATCTTTATTTTTCCAGTA